CTTGAACTTTCTTCCACGACTCAATGAGCAGTATACTATTCTTCTTTTCTAAAGCGACCAGTTGTCGACTGTTGCAAGGCATCGGCAGAAACTCGGAGAGATCTCATTACCTTCAGGTTATTTGCCTTCACCTCACCCAGATCCTTCCAGCCTGCTCGCAAAGATCACGCAATGTTTGACTCGATCACATCCCCCTTTGATGGCATGATGTACAGAAAAATATCTATAAGAAGCTGGAACACATCTCTCTTTCGTATTCTTCCATGACCGTTTCGCTTTGTCGGTGAATGACAATTGAGACGCCTGTACCTGCTTTGTTTATCCTTGATAGAACACCCTGAGGCACTCCCGTTTCCGAGAGCAGAAAAAGTTGGCCCGTATTTGGCCCACAAACAATGATAGGAAGTTTTCTCGTCAAAAAGGCACAGACGTCTACGGGAGTACACACTACGAATGGCCCGCATGTCCCAGCCGTAATCAGTCAGATGCAGCGCCAGAACGACTTCATGAGCGGCGCGTATCAAGGGCGAAAAATTCGTGTTATGTAGAAGATGTAGAAGCCAAGTCATCGGAACTCTAGCAATACCGCGTTAAAATCAGTGCGTATAAAACTTCATATTGGAAACAAAACACCAGGAGGAGGTAATTTCTAGAGCGCCTGTTTGATGTGCTATGAAACTAACTTTGTTGAGTAACTTGCAGAGAGTTTGCTCTGAAGATGTGATGGCCACATCGATTATATTGCATATAAGTGCCTCGATGTCAAGTTCGATTCTATCCGTTTATTACCTTAAAGTCCCTCTCACGGTATTCCACAACAAGTTGCTATAAAAACAAATACTAATATATTATGCTTGTCATACAATTTACGTTGCTTCGTACGTTGCTGTAGTCGCACCTTCAACTGTGAGTACAATTACAACCTGTGCGGGATAACCACTACACTACAACGGAGGACCCACTGCATGCTGAGTTGAGAATGATAGTCTAGGAGGTTTCATTCCACGGAACTCAAATACAGGTGCTAGTGTGGTTGCGTCACAACTTAAGTATAGGCATATTTATTTCATTTGGTGGTCATCATTATGCTCTTAATTTGTTACAGTATCGCCTATGGAGTTGAGATATATTTGCGTAGTGGCTATTCTACACTTGGACATTTCCGAGATGAAAACGGCCATGAGTAATTTTTATTCAGGGAATACATAACACTTTCTTTCATTCTTACCATTCACTCTGCTCTGTACAGCAGAATAGAACAGTCGGCCCAGTTATTGGGCGTTGGGTTTTTCTTGTCATTACACCACATACTTAGTTTTCATTATCTGTGTTTTTTCTGCGTGCAACCAATCCAAGCAAACCTTTGTCCATCTTTTTTAATGATTACTTGCCCTCAGCGGAAACCGTAGCCCGCAGTGATTCTATCCTGTCTGATGTAAAATACAAGCGTGCTCAGGTATTAACCGTGAATGCCACAGAGTATGTGAAATTGAACGAACTGACGTAGTTGAAAAATCCTCTTTGGGGTTTCTCAGACTCGTATAGCAGTAAAACGTCAAATACATTTACCCGCGTTCCCCGCTTGGTGGCGCTATAAACAGAAAACGTTCGAAAGGAAGGGGAAAATGGACTGATTGAGGCACGTAGTTGTCGCCTTTGGTGCTTTACATTGGGCTGCTTGTTCGCCCAGGTTCATTAGATCGCTGGATGGGGAGATTTCCATTTCTATGCCGATGCCACCTACAGCGCTATTTCCGCTGATTGCATCCGTGTGACCAGTGAAGCTTCCCTGTTGGCACGTGGTGATTTTGCGATGATATAATGAACCACGTGAAGTAGGTTCGTCCGGACCAGCCCGTCTCGCGACGTCCTTTCGGGTGTATTGGAAACTAGCTTCGACATTCATGGTGTGCGCTTTTGTTTTAAACATTTCGAAACTTTCCTCTCCACACCCCGCGTTTGATTTCCATACAGATTAGAAGAGATTCTAGTAGGCAGAAGGGTGCATGCAAAATAAGGTCGGAAAGATAGGCGGTAATACCTCCGTAGCGCAAATGAACTCTGGCAATGGCGTGAGTACTGGGCAGCAGGGGTGTTAGGTAGGCGCTTTGAAAGTTTCTCGCAATCTTTTTTTCTTTAGTTTCACGTTTGATGCAGTTCAGTGTGCACGGATTGCCTCGAGGTCCCAATTACAAGACCACCTGGCTCTTCTATATTCGTAAGTATGCGTTGTTTTATGGTGGCTGGCTCGCTATGACATCAATAGATAAGCTATCATTAGCCGGTGACAACGGCACTCGATGACGTGGTAAGCCACGGTACCGCATTGTCGTTCCGGTATCTTATTACTCATCATTATGCATTTTAGTAAGAAGCGATGAGAATCTAGGGCTTTTTGGGTTAGCGTTTTATTTTCGCTTTAAGTATACCACTTATCGATGTCATTTTGTGCAGACTGCAATGTTCATCGACGGACTCGAGAGCTTTGCACGGAGCACTTGATCTACATTGGCCGACTATAGGAGAACGAGCTCTTTAATAGTGAAGTCGATGGCTGTCATTCTGCTCCAAGTTTTAAAGTGGTTGCGAAAAAAAGAAAACGTTGAACTTAAATACTGCACTCCGTGGTTACTCCTGCCCAGGGCGAAGTGTTCTTTTAGGGAATGAAACTAAGCTACGTAGGTGATTTAACGTGTATAAGCCACAATTTACACGCCTATGACCAGTACTTCAGGGCTCGGGCACAGAACGTAGAAGTACAAGGATGTGGTTGAGGCACTGCGAAGACAGCATCGCCCGCTTTTACGCAACTTACCTCGGCCGCTAGAAACTTCCCTAGAGGTCACCATGTCACGTGACATTACAAAGCTACCTATTCAGTTCACTTCATTGGGAGCAGCGTGTGCGATGCTCTATTCCCAGCGACTTCTGCGCCAGCCTTTCGGCCGCCAAGATGAGATATTGCTCTTCTTTCCTCCACTACGCGGGGTGAGGTGAGCATCTTTTGGGTTTTTTTTTTCGCAACAAAAAATGTGTTGACCATAAGACGCAGCCTGTGTCTGCGTGTGTGTGACAGTGATTGGACAACACTCTAAGCTCCTTCTGTCTGTCGATATTTCTTTTTTTAGGATGGCAGATAAAGTTTCTCGAAGTATGGAAAGAGCAAAAACGGAAGATTCTACCCACTATCAAAGTTCCCACAACCAATGTATTTTGTTGTGAACTGATACGAAGCTGTCAACACGCTGTCAACAGCGGGACGCCTGTCACATTGAAGCCTGTCCTAAGCGGTGACACTTGATTTCGGCGAGAGTTTCTCGAGTGGCCCTTTGGCTGTGATGTATGCAACGGCTTGTGGTCGCACATTTCAGCTTAACCATACTTGTGGAGTTCTTGGGCGGTGATTTTTTTCTGATTGTGGGCCCATCAGCAGCTTTGAATGTCCATTTCATTCAGTGAAACGGCAACAACTGGTACATTGGAGTCATTATGTCGATTACAAGAAACGCTGCCGAGATGATTACGTGTCCTAAAAATCCCAGTCATTAAAATAAACTTAACTTTGTGATTTCAGAAAGACAAAGTTGTCACAGTGGTCTTCGTCATCGCGATGTGCTTTCTAATATGGTGAATTACACATATAGCAGCCCTCCGATCCTTCTACCTGGTTTTGGATTTTTGTTTAAGTTGAACATAACTATCTCTATGTGCAACGTTTTTCTTGACACATATTGGCCTTCCGTTTCAGGTACGCAACGCTCGATTCAGCCATCTGCACTATATGCACTGCCGGGCTCAAAAATATTTATGAACTCTATCCTATGACTGAACGCTGAAGCCAAGCACTTGAAGCTTACCATGGCTTCGAATGTGTTTTAGAACTCTTGGATAAAACTGTAACGCGTCAACGTCCTTGCAGGCGTCGTACTAAAGCAGAAGCCAAGCACTTGAAGCTTACCATGGCTTCGAATGCGTTTCAGAACCCTACAATAAAACTATAACGCGTCAACGTCCTTGCAGGCGTCGTAACAAAGCAAAATCCAAGCACTTGAAGCTTACCATGTCTTCGAATGTGTCTCAGAACGCTACATTAAAATTATAACGCATCAACTTCCATGCAGGCGTCGTACAGAAGCGGAAGCCAAGCACTTGAAGCTTACCATGGCTTCGAATGCGTTTCAGAATATGAATACTTACTGTGAATACTTACTGGTAAACACGTTCTCTCTTTCCTATAAACGTCCAATGCCATGGTACGCACCTTGTAATATTCGATGTGAAAAATGATGAAAACGGCGAACCTGGTAATTACCAGGTTTTTCTGATTGAAACTTATTAATACCAAGTCAACTTATTAATAAATATAGAAACCTATTACTCACCTCGTAAAACAAACGGCAGGCTCTGGTATATGTACTCCATGATTGCAGACTCATGCACAACTCCAACTAATGGTCGACATAGTGTTCTCTAAAGTTAACTCGAGGAAGCCCTGGCGCTGCGATCGTTCAGCCACCATGAGAATGATGAATACTACACGGATTTACCAGGTCATCGCGCTTGCGGGCTTCGAACGAACTCTTGGCGTTTTTTCTTGTGCTTTGGTTTTGTTTTGGTAAAGAAAAAACGAACATTTGTGGACTTCGTGAGCCGATTTGAATTGGTGAACCTAAAAAGGTCAAAGTGGCTTTTTCTCAACTTCGTCTTGCCGCCAAGGCAATGCCGCAGCGCAGTGCATCACGTGTCGTGACGTCACGCCCTGCCACACTTGAGCTGCGACGGCTCAAAGTCTTTAACAAGGATCGAATGACTTTGGGATACAAAGAATAATAATGCCCCGGCTCTTGAGAAATAACTTCTTTAAATGTCGTTATTGCTAAAATAAAACCTTCTAGTCTTCTAGTCTTTCTATAGGAGCTTCGAAATTTTTGTTGACTGCACTGCTCTAATCACTCTTTAGCAGTCAGGCTACCTGAACAAGTGCTTCTGTGCGCAGTACGTAATCGTCAATAATTTATTTACAACGTAGTTCAGTATTTCGTGCTGCATTTACCCCAATTGGGGTCTACGTTCCCGCCGCTGGTGAATATATCGAGAAGGGAAAGTGACGCCGGCGTCAGTGCGAACTTTTGGTCGTAGCAGAAGCCCCGGAAGCAGGACTGTTCATCCGCGCCGTACTCATTCACCAGCTGAATGATCGACGCCACCGTTCCGCCGATGAACACGAAAAGGCCGCACAGAATGGCTAATGCGAGGCCGATCTTCATTCTCGTGCTCAGGGGCCTGCGATAAAGATGAAGTTCGCTATCAGTACGTGAATTCGCTTTAATAAAAAAAGCCGTCGTGACCCACGAAACATAGAAGCTGACCGTCGGTGGCATCGACCACGTAACAATAGCATAATACGGTGCATAATGCATAAAATTTGCATGGTCTGTCTCTCGGCTGGGATGCTCGGCTGCTGAGCCGAAGGTTACTAGTGCAATCCCGGCTACAGTGGTAGCATTCCAATTGAGGCAAAATGGTATAGGCCCATGTACTGGGCCGTGTCAGTGCTCGCTACTGAACACCAGATGGTAGAGATTTCCGGAGCCCATCTCTACGGCGTCTCTCATAGTCATATCATGGTTTTGGGACGATGAACCTCTGATTTTATTATCACATTGTCGTGTGATGACGTCACTGGATCACACCAACGGGACGCTACAGATCATTACTATTTGTGGCATCAAAATGACTGCACCTTGTCATCGCTATAACGTTAGAACGTATTGTAGCACGTGACATCGTCAATTGGCCAGAGGTAGGCCCATCATGGAGGGAGTACGAAAACAAATTGGTGAGGCAAACAAAGCTTGCAATGCCTTCTATCTTAGAGGCAATGCAAAAAGACTTTAGCAGTCGAATTGTATCGGCAAAGTGGGGTGTGGAATAAATACCTTTACTCAAAACGTAAAAAATGTTACTTTCCTTTGAAGCATCAAAGACGATCACGTAAGTGACCCAGTGATTTTTTATTCCCCTATTTACATGGTTTTTTTTTATTTCCCGAAATAACAGCGACTCAATGCGCCATTTTCAGTGAGCACATACTCGCACAACCTGTAGAGGGTTCTGCGAAATAAGCCGTCCAAGTTTCGTATACCTCAAGTACATCTTTTTTTTTTTCATCTTTCACCCTCTTTCGCAGCGAAATCATTGTGTTCAGGGAAGCCTAACAATAAAACATGTGCGAATGACCAGTTCAAGAAGTGACAAAGTCTCTTTCGCAGTTGCTAAGACAAATCTAAGATGAAAGATATCGTTTGCTTATTTTCAGTCGATCGTACCTACTCCACTGCCCCTCCCGCCCTCTTCTTGAAATCCTTCCGCGTAGAACAAGGCTTCTTTTTTCGCCTCCAAGACTCGAAGCTCCCTGCAACTCACGCATTACCTCCGTCTTCGCCAAACTTTTACCAAGGTGCGATGTCACGTGACAACGTCCTTACGTGGTAACACGTCATATAACGTGGAAACTGCGTCATAAACTTTTGCGTCACTCGTGCGCCCGCCACCGATGCCGACGATGACGTACCACGTTTGATCAGGCATCATAGCATTGACCTTAAAATAGAAAGAGGTCAAAGTAGAATGTACAGCCTTGGTGACTGACTTCTCTGGCCACTGCTCCGATCCCTGGCACAGCTTGTAGTAGAACACGGGAGGCAGCAGGAACGCCACAGGGCAGAGCGCAAGGGACCCAACGAGTCCCATCAAGGGTCCTTCGTATGGCAAGGCCAGGGCAATTCCACCGGCGCACAAGGCAAGCGGAGCCGATATTCGGGCACGCCTCCAGGCCAAGCCTGCAGGAAGACATGCGCACCATTCTAAGTATTCAAGAATTGACAACCTAGTTTCACCCTCTCCTAAGTGCTTGGTGAATTTCACTGTAGTTGTGTGATATTCCACGCAACATTCCATTATGACAAAGTATGTGATGACCCCAACTGACCATCTTCGCAAATGAGCAAAAGACAAGGCAAAAAAAAAGCTAGGCAGTTTGACCGGAACAAATGTGTATGCGCTACTCTACCTTAGATAGTGGTGGGAGTAGAGGCTTGAAAGAAGGAACCAGAGATCAGCCCTTCACGCGAACGCTAAAGTTCTAAAGCCGTGCCTTTGAGCTTCGGCATTAAGCTGTGCTATTGACTGTAGCGCACCTACTCGTAACCCCAAGAAGCCAGACTCATTTACCTAAATGCGGCTGCAGGTTCAACAACAGAACGAAAAAAAAAACTCTTTCCTTTCCTGTGATTGTATTTTGTTATGTTTATGGTTGATTTCGCGCGTAAAACGAGGTATTTTTTTAAATACTTGCTTACGCAGAATAACAAGGCTGGTCGCGTTGCCACTGTGACGTTACAACCTTAGTCAGCGTTCGATGGCACCTAATGACCGCTTCTGGGGGTCATGTAAAGAAGCACATCAAGTTTTATTGCATGCGAATGGCCTAAGTTTTCAGATACTCCCTGACTATGAAAGATAAATCACCCTGAGAGGCTGTAAGTACCAGTTGTAATCGTATTAGGATATATTCAGGCTAGGGCTTGCATAATTTCAAATAATTATTCTTTAAACACGACCTGCTGCCTTATACAAAAGACCAAGACGACAAGAAAGTGACAGCTCTTTCTTCTCCGTCCTCTTTGAACGTAAAATTTTTTTTGTGCCAGTGTCCATCAAGAGTTCGCTTATGTATTTCAGTCACAGATGTGACGTTACGAAATGTTTACTAATAGAAGACATCGAAAAATAGGGAACGTTTCATCGCCGGCAATCGAACACACGACTCTTTGCTTTACAGTGCGTGATGCTAAATGACTTAGCCACAAAGAGCACGTTCTGAAGCGTACTAACGGTGAGCTCTTTATATTCACCATTTACCTTTGGCAGCGCACATACCTCAGTGACTCTTCAGGGTGTTCTCGTTATCACTAGCAAGATGGCGTGCGTAGGGCACGCTTTGAAGGTCATCGGCTCCCTCGTGACAACGCGCGCGCACGTGATTCCTGCCTATATAAACCACATGTGTTTTGCTCTACTAGCCGTGGTTGCCCGTACGCGCGTCCTTATGGCGTGTTGGAGGTGGTCTATTCGTCTTGTGCTGTATTCGCGAAATTCCCTGGAAGTTAAAAAAAGCACGAAGGTCACTCAGCTTGCCCCAGCGGCCACGTTGGATAAAGGAGTGGGCTGCTCAAACACAAAGAAAAATGAACTGAGCAGCATCACAATGCTTAGTACGTGCTCGTCCTGTCTGTTCATTCAGAGTGGTCTTTATGATTGAGCAGCGCGATGAAAGTTCTAAGCTGCTTGCCATTACTAGCGTGACATTCCTATTTGTAGCTATTGCACTCACTCCTTCGTTCTTGCGGCAATACTGCGACTTTTTTTATGTGCTTGTTGAAACCCCCCTTAGGTGGCGCTCGCAATATGCGGTTTCCAGCTATGTGCTTACAGCTAGAGCTACCAGAATGCTTACATTTTGATCATGAGCGTCAGTCGTCGGGACGGAGATGTACCACTGTTGGCGTCTATATACGGAGGCGCATCAATGTGGATCAGTGTGCTAGATGTCGAACATCAATCGACATTGTTCAATATCTCATATATTCACAATGAACGTTCATATACTTGCGTGAAGACACGTTTTATTTCCATACTATGCCGACTCTTAGGACTGAAGGTACAGCAATGTTTTTTTTTCTCTACATTGTTGATAGTCCTGAGCCTCCTCCTTCACCCACGAAGTTTTCGACACCTGCCATAGTGTTTCATTGTCTCTGACAAAAAATCTATAGTGCACTAGAGGAAAACTTGCGCTGGTGTATATGGGAGGTTCGAATAATTGGTAGTACATGGATTTGCTTGGGCTGTGTTTTCTCGGCTCCTTGTGGTTTCGTGCAGTCTTCCGCTGCATTGCCAACACACTTAGTTCAGAAAATGTTCAGTGGATCCACGTGACCAGCAAGACTCATTTGCGCTCATAAATTAAAATCACCCGAGGAGTTTGCTAAGGCACGTTGCCGGGCTCGTTGGTTGGGGCTCATCATTTATATGGGTATAGCGCACCACGAAAAGGAAACAAAAAGACACACACACACACACATACACGCTGTGTGTGTGCGTGTGTTTTTATTATTGCCTTGCTGTGTGTCTGTGTGTCTTTTTTGTGTCCTTGTCGTGGTGCGCTATACCCATATAAATGATCAACACCCGGGGAGGTTCACGATGAGCCACTATTTTTCTTTGAAACAAGCAAGACAAAAACAATAAACCAAGCCACAAGTATTTTTGAAGCCTGAAACGCGACTAGGCAAATTTATGTGGTACCCATTATTCCCATGGTGCCTGAAACATGGCAGTGCCACAATTTCTTCTACTGACTATGAATATTCTAGGACACCTTACGGGATCAGGGTTAGACCCATCTTTTACATAAATTCGACGTCATTGTGTGGCATCACACTATTTTACATGACCATGACGGCGCACATGGGGGCACTGTGGGACGCCTGCAGATGATGTCATCATGATGTCATATATGATCACGTGACTTTCGGGATCATTTCTGTTTTTCTTTATTTGAATTTTTTATTTCATCATTAAAACAGAACGTGATAGCCGGGGAGCCCGCGGTAAAAGCTATCTTTCGGTAGCTTGACGCCAATGGCGCGATTTCGACGCCAATGGTCAGCTTTCGCGCTTCCTGGAGCGCCAAAAGGTTTCGCCTTCACAGCGATACGATCCAAAAGACTTCTTGCAAAAATGATTGAGATTCAAGGAACCGCAGTAAGACACTCACGTTTTCCGTAATCCTCTACGCGGTCGTATTCTCCCAGTATGAGGTCGCTGAGGTTCGTCAACTGATCGAAGCACGTCACAGTGAAGAAGTGGGCAGCGATCCGGACATTTCGTGTGTTGAAGATCAGCACGACGTTTCCGTTGAATGGGTAAAGGACAGCGCAGGCAGTTACGCCAACGATGAAAAAAGCCAGCGTGCTTCCTGCAGGAAGTACATCTCGCAGTTTAGAGAAAATGTAGAACATCGTTGGTCGCTGTAGTCAACTAGTTTCTTCGCAGCAGCAACCACCTTCTTGGGTTGTACGGATCCGAGTACTTTTATTTCTCTCTCTTAACCACGAAGGCCAGGTTGAAAAGAGAGAAACAGCAAAAATTGAGAAAAAAAGGGGGTCTGGAGAAAAGGAAGAACAACAAGTATATAAAGAATGGCTGTCGTGTCCAATGGGCAGAGTAAGAGGGAAACGCATCAACATGCGAAAGAAAACCTGGAAGAGGTAGGGCGAAAGGTGTGGCCTTAAGCTTAAACTTGGTAGCATCCACACCAAAGGCGACCACCACCCCGAATGCAATGGGCAGTGTACGTATGAACTGAATTTTCCCAAATTTAACACAGTTGATAGTGCGTCTATGAATTCACACTTTGCTTTCTTTCTGACCTCAGGCCATGAAGACATCGGACACTCAGTCGAATGGTCTTATATGCATTCACTGAATACAGTTTGGAACTTTCAAAGTGTCCTTCAACTTTTAAAGACGATAATTTTTCTTGGAATACTCCAAAGCAGAAATTTCTGTCTGTCTACCGGTGTGTCTGTCTGTCTTCTTCTGTCACCTGATTCAGTACAACGGCGAAAGTTTAACCCATTCATAGGCGACCAGCCATCTTGATCTGGTTGTTGCGTTAAGTTGTACTGACATTGTGAATGAAAAAATTATTATTACGCATATTTTGGCACAAAATTATTACGGGGCCCTTGGGTAGTGTGTTACTGTATTTATGAAATGCATAGATACGTAATTTCAAAGACCGCAGTGACTAGTTCGTGGCGCTGACAATGCGACGCTATGGCTAAAAATAAACGGCTGTTTACTACTCTTGACTGAAACTACATGGTGCTACCAACTACCGGTGACCTCGCGTTTGAAATAAACTTTGTTTCTTCAAATTACTACTAGATGGCTTCCATAGATCGCGCAGTGCCTATTCGCCAATTTTCTCGCACAGAGCGTCAAATAAACGTTTTATTCTCTTTCTCAAGGAAGATGACTATCGTCTCTTTCGACGACCTTTGCCAGCGAAGTATGCAGATACGCCGCCATTTTTTTACACTCCCATTAGAATGAAAGGCAAACACGCCCTATGTATACGTGTTTTCTTTTTTTGTTATGGACGAATATCCTCAGGGAGTGGATCGCTCTCTCGTAGCTGTATGCTGAAGTAGCCACTTCCATAGAGTTTCCTGAATATACAATGGAAAGAACTTTGGTGCTAGTGTCTATGGAAGCTTCCACGCATGGCGCTTCAGCGAGCATGGGTAATATGAGTACTGCATAGATTTTCAAGTCTTCGTATATTACGTTCTTTCTGTATTTGCGTGGCTTGAAGCTGCTTTGTCACTGAACAACAATCGCCCAATGATAGGTAGTTACGCTTTACCACCTTCAACTTTTAGGATCACCATTTTAAATGCGATCAGCATTTGAAATGCTAGCCACAAGTGTGATTCACCGCCCGCAAGCGCGAACACTAGGCAAATTTGTGTCATACGAAAAATTTTCATGATCTCTGAACGATCGCAGCGCCTGAGTCCCCTCTAGTTCATTTCAGCGAACTCTGTGGCCACTTCTAGTTAGTTTTAAGAATTACTCCCTAAATGTCAGTGTGTGTATATGTCCTTCTAAATAATATCACTAGATGGCACTATTGATTTTCGTATAGTTGACGAATGAAACAAAATAGGTGGAAGAAATTCACAATATATCCAAGGAGTGAATAATGATGAGTGGGGCGAAACATCCGTCTGTCCATCCGCCCGTCGAATGCGTTCTGTAGTGTGTTAGGAGCGAACGGACGGACGGACGGACGGACGGACGGACGGACGGACGGACGGACAGACAGACAGACAGACAGACAGACAGACAGACAGACAGACAGACAGACAGACAGACAGACAGACAGACAGACAGACAGACAGACAGACAGACAGACAGAAGTACGGACGGACGTTCCACCCCACTTATGAGCACTTGCTGTGTGTTGCGAACGTTTTTAATTTTTACCGCGAACCGCAGTGAGACGCCCAACTTATATGCCTCCACTCGCATGCGTTTGTACTCTCGTGCTTTTGGGTCGTGCAGACGCCATTCGCGTTCTAGAGCGTGTAAAGGCTCACTTGTCCTCATGCGTGAAGGGGATGTGCCAGTGTGGCACCTATTGCCGCGAGGATGATGCACTAAACGCTTTCGCCCTAACGTACAATTTACTATCAACAACGCTGTGAGCTACTCTCTGCAGAACTTGTGGCCGTCACGCGCAGTGACTTACCTGCGACTCCGAAGGCAGCAGCCTTGGTGAAAGAAGGCGGTGCCTTCATGTCACGTCGAATGTTTGTGAATTCGCACACGCCGGCGAAATTGAAGGCCAAGATCCCGAGACTGACAAAGTATAGGGCGCTGGTAACGTCCTTGACGCCCTTGGACAGGCCAGAGACGTCGCCGATGAGAGAGCCGAGGTCGAACAGCTTTATGGTAAACATTGCCTCTCCGGTTCCGGTAGCCATCTTATTATTGCCCGCGATACCCGTGAGCAACAGAATCGTCAGCACCACAGCCACCGGGGTGTTTACCACGCCGCACCTGCACCCAAAGTTGTCAACGCACTCATTTCGTTTGTAAAATTATTACAAAGATTAACATATACTTACTTCTATGTTTAGAGACGCTATAGACGGTTTCGAGGTCACAATTGTTGTACCCAAAAAAACTTCCGGTCACCTCATTTACCAGCTCCTAACGTTGAAACTGAATGCACGTGTTGAAGTTCTTTTCAAACGTAAGGAAAGTCTCTCTTTCATTTTTCTACAAAGGAAACGTGCGTGAAGTACAAGGGAATGTTTTATAATTTTTATGTAGCTCAAAAGAATATTTATTTGAATATATTTTGCCAAGTAAGGGTAGGACATGCACTTTAAAAATCAGCGGTCTATTTTCTAAAGCTCTTGTGGACCTTCAATGCTATCAGAGCACATCAGTGGACAAAACCGGAAGTCATCAGGGGGTTGTGTTTTTAAACCTTGAAAGGGTCTATACGCTGCAAAAGAATTCTTTTTTTTTTTTGCATGACTGGATGACTTGACGGTGAATGTCATCACGTGTGCGCTATTTTGACAGCGGTATTGTCTCGACGCCATAATAAATTATTAGCAAACACTTATAGGTACACTCAATTTCTGAACCTTCAGCAACGCTGTGCTATCCTGCGCTCCTTTCAATTACTTTGGATCATATTCACCAATTTTAGAAATAGATTCAATTGCTTGGTGTCCGTTTCCATTGTTGTCAACCACTTATTCCTTCCCATCAAAGCGTGTCAGTAGACTAACGCGTGTGCGACGCTGGTAACTATGAGGCGTACCTTTAGCATTTCTTTGCTTTGTGAGCTCTTTCTAGCTGTTTCTACTGACACAGATGGCAAATTTCAGTGTTTCATTACGCCACTATCACTTTCGCCCTAACGATGATGGCTGATTTTCGACAGTTTGACTGACAGGCACTACAGCCAGCTATACTTTCTAAGACATTTTGAAACATTGTGGTTACACCAGACCAACACAAAATTTTGTTACAACACAGCAAAACAGGAACGACCTACTTGGAAACCAACAAACTATCAAGCCAAAAAAAAAGGTACATTGAACGTCATTTGTAGTCCTTCCATTGAATTGCAATGTTCTTGACAAGAATTTAAAAAGAATGAGGACGCCCTTTTTGGGTGGCAGGAAGCAAACCTGCAGAACTGGCATTTTAGCCAGTTGTCATATCCACCAGAAATCACATTCTACCTGACTGTACTTGCCAAAAAAAAAAGAGTGTTGCGCAGTCGCCCTTAGAGATACGAGCAACGCTGAGTAACGCTGCCAGGTTAGCGTGCATAGATATACTAGATAAAATAATGGGATAACGCCCTTGTCCATAGCTCAACTGGTAGAGTATCGGGCACATTATTCGAAAGTTGCAGATACGTTGCTTGAGGGCAGAAAGTTTCCCTATCCTCCCCTTCAAGCTCTTCGTATATAAGATAATCGCTACACTACCATTTAAGGCTGCTAATAGCATCCCCTGTACCTTGATTGGCCTCATCGGGTGATTATGTTCAATTAGGTTGGGTCCAACAAAAAAAATTGCCCTTAAGCTCTCTTCCTCCTAAACAAAATAAGGGGCATGTTTCCGCCTTTGTACTCACCAGTATCGGCAGTAGGTTGCCGTGGTACCACTGGAGAGAACGAACAGCACTCCGCAGCCAACAACGAAGCCGCAGTATAAGTGTCCCCTTGGTACGGGCACTGGTAGGATGAGGGCCACGAAGTCAACCATAGTGGCCGATGCGATCACAATGAGCAAAGCCCAAAGTCCCACGACGCAGAGCAATCGCAGGGCACCCACAACCTTCCTGCACAAAGAGCGATATATAAGGGCGCAGTAATAGGCGATAGTCGGCTTGCTCCTAGAGTAAGCATCATAAGTGCCCAGAACTCTTTCGTTCCTAGATAGAACATCCGGTATGCCAAGGACTTTATTGGTCCTAGGCGAGGCACTCAGGTGTCCAGAATTCTCTTGGTCGTAAACAAAACATTCAGAGTACCTATAGGACTCTTCGTCCTAGGTGAGACATCCGGACTGTCTGGTACTCCCAATACTCTAAGAAATAGATCTGCAGTTCCTAAAATTATCTTGATCTTAGGCAATATATGAGGAGTGCCTGCTTCTTCTCGAACCAAAAGTAAGTAGTAAAGGACATGACAGGCTTTAGTTCATTATGTAAGAGAGATTTGTCGTCAAGTAGAACCTTACGATAGCCCTGGTCCCACGGCTCTGTTCGCGATGTCCGAGTACTGCGTGTACCAGTGGAACCGGCGGTACTCCTCGTGGCGCTCTTCCAGCATTTCGCAGCATGACTCGAGCAGGCCTGCGCTAAAGACTGCGAGAACTCCGAACACCGGAAGCCAAAGAGGGCGCTCCATCCTGTAAACACATCAATGCACATTCAGTTTGTCTCTTGCTCTTGCAGCGAGCGTTATAAACTTATTGATCGATCTTGCATGAAAGGGACCTGTAACGTTCTGTAGATGGGCCGGAAACGCTAAAGTGCTAAAGCCTGCAGCTGCTGCTGATGAACGAGCTTCCCGAGATGAGCCTCCACTGCCTTAATCTATCTTCGTTCGGGGCCCCCTGCGTCAACTCCACCGAATTACCCGTTGCCTCGCCGATGCATTATCCTACTGGATTGCGTGCGCAGTGCGATCACCTCATAAATGAGCTCGTTCCCATGGCTCAAACTCTATGGTTCACAAGCTATAAGACTGTGGTCACTCCACTGGAGCTAAAGGGTGGCTATTCTGCCGACACGACTTTTCGCTACCTGCGTTCTCACGCAACCTCTCAAAGTCTGTGGTGTAATATAATAATAATAATAATAATAATAATAATAATAATAATAATAATAATAATAATAATAATTTAGTTTTATTACACCTTAATACCAATATTTATATCAATATAACTGTTATTGATAATGCTATTTTCATATAGAAATAATAATATTAATATCTCCTGGAGTTTTAAATCCTGAAACCACTGAACGATTCATCGTAAAGTACTATACGATTGTAAAAAACGCCTTAGGGGGGGGCTCCGGAAATTTTGACAATGTGGTGTTCTTTAACATGCACAGAAATTGCACAGTACACGGGCCTAAGCATTTTGCCTCCATCAAAATGCGACATCCATGGGCGGAATCGAACCCGCGACCTACGGGTGAGAGAATCGCTGGTGTAAGACCCGGGTGTACGTGATATGACGTATGTAAAGCGTGAAATAGTAAAAAGATATGAACCATCTCTCCAGAGGGAACCATGATGGGATGCGAAACAGCAGTGGTGCATACGCCGTTGACCCGGCTGAAACTGGCGTCGACGAGGGTGCTGGATGAGTGGTTCAGAGAAAAACTTGGTGTAGCCTTTGCTCGAGTAAATTTTTCTTTCTAAACGCAAAGACAAGGGAGGCGGGGTGGGTTTTCGTCTAAGTTTCATTACAAATAAACGATCCGAAAGACTGTTTTCGTTTGACATGCGATCGAGCGTTGCTGGTGGCAGATAGAGTGAGGCGAGACAGAAGTGTGTTGCGAGTGGGCCGAGGAGCAACAACACCTAGGTGGGTCGGGAGTAGCCGGCACCTGCTGTGGGTGAGGAAAAGAATGACGTCAACGCGTAGCTGCGATTTGAACTACTTGGCATCGTTCCAACTGCGTTGAGGGGAACGCGGTGCGGCGCATTGGCACGGAGACACGGACGGAGAGCGTTACACAGGCTTGTGTAAGAGCTGCTTGGCATCTGAAAATTGTTCTTTATGGTCAGTTCCATCATAAAAAGAAATGATAGTTTCACCAACAGTTAGTGCTTATATACCCACAGAGAACATTTATAGGCAGTGCATCCAATAAAAAGTTCTAATTCACGTGACGTCATGCACGCCTAGCGTATTTCACGTTAGTGACTTTCCATACTTTGTCATGTTCATCTCGCTAGTTATCAGTTGCAAACTTGAACTTCTGGACAAATTGCAGCAAAGATCTGACTTCATGGCGACCACAAGTAACATTTATTTTGTATCATGTGTGGTGTTGAAAATAACAGCGAAAAAGCACTTGGGGTCGCGATGGAAAGCACTACGATCGACTATCTTGCGTAGGTTATTGACAGGTTCACCACGCTATATAAGGGCTGAAATTATGTTAATGAAACTGCCACGTTGGAGCGCAAACATGGTGGGACGCGAACATTGCGATATCACGTCGAAGTCGTGTGTGCATCGCATTCTATTTCTGTTTCATGCACATCTGGTCAATAACGCTTCAGTGACGTCGTGATCACAATTTGCCAAGTTAGGCACTGCGTGATTACACTGTCTACACGTCATCTAAACCACCATGTTGGATCTAGATATAGATATGTTAGATGACGTCACGTTAAATCTATATCTAAAAAATAATCCCAGACTGTAACTTGCTATGGAATAAACACAAATAGGCTTAAACCAAAACGCCTTACCTATCCATACGAAGGCGAACGGGACCATCACCATTCCAGCACCAGTCAGATTGCCTGCCAGAGACGCTGCCGTCACAGCTAAGCCTAGCGAAGCCGATACCGCTGGAAGCACAGGGTCTGTCTTCTTCCATTGCTGCCTGTACCACAGCTTAGTCTGCGTCCACCAGTCGCCTTCTTGACAAGGGGGCACCGTCGTCAATTCAGGAGTCACCGGAGTGTTGAGGATGGTCGGAGGCGCGTCTCTGTAGTCCGGAGGTGGTGCGTACGCATGGCCATTCACTACATGGATGTAGTGAGCAACATATATACTTCCATAGGCTCTCTCGTGCAAGTGGCTGCATTAAAAACTTCGCTATTGACCGAAGGGCAAAGAAACACATACAAACAACACGTTCATTCAGGCACCACATGCACTCTCTGCTATAACAATGAGGGTCATCATATGATGTTCAAAGAGCAATGATTGAGGGGTCATTGTCAAGAATCATTGGTAGACACCCTCTTCAACGCGTCTTTATATTCACATTTGGAGAAGGAAACTCGACTGGGTAGAGAGAGAGAGAGAGAGAAGTAAACGTTTATTTTGAAACAGTGTTCCGAGCAATGCCCGATGTCACCCTGAGGTGGGAGGGCTCCTTAGTCCAGGAACCCTCTGGCTTCTACTGCCCTCTTGGCCCTGGCGACGAGTTGTTGTTGCTCTTCCAGGTCCTCGAGGACGAGCTTCGCCTCCCACGTTTCGGTTAGGTCTTCGTTCGTCCGTCCTGCTTCGTTATCAGTCGTGTGTTGTTGCAGATTACGTCTGGTATACACTGGCATGCAAGAAGCAAGTGCGCCAGGGTGTCCGGTACGTTGCAAAGCGGACACATAGAGCTATCTCTCGTTGGGTAGAGACGGTGCATTAGGGCCCCATCCGTGTATGTGCTGCTTTGCAGGCGTCTCAGTATTACGCTTTCCTCTTTTGTAAGTTTTGGGTGTGGTGGAGGGTATACTCGTCGCTCCAGCCTGTAATGCTGGAGTAACGACGAGTAGGTGTTTTGAACAACTTCCGTCTCTTCAACGACGGATCGAATGTCCTGTGGGCAGGGGGCAGCCCGGGCTGACGGGCTCGCGGGCAGCGGCGTGGGCCGCTTCATTTTCCTGCAGACCCTCGTGTCCTGGCACCCATAATACACAAGTGTATGGGAGTGGAGTGCTTCGCCGTTTCAAAATATTGATGGCATTGGCTGAGATACGGCCCTTAGCAAAATTCCTGCAGGCGGCTTGTGAGTCGGTGAAAATCACCGCGGCGTCTCGACTGGGTAGAGAAAAAAAAATTCGGCATATCCCACGTACCTGAGAATCGATTTGACGCTAATCATGCGGAGGGAAGGTGACCGTGTTGCAATTTTTTTTATTTAGCGACACGGCTTTAAATGCCGCTAAATATATGTACAAACGTTGCACGCATAGACATAAGTTGAATAGTTGCAGATATAGCCAGTTGTTTGCACTTACTCAACGATGCTAACTGGAACATGCGTATTAGAAATGCCATAAGCTGATATGAAGCGCTGATGCTCACGAGAATGCTGGCCTGAACACTGCTGCATGAATCAACTTCAACGCATGGCAACTAACCACAATTTACGCTTACCAGACGTGACGGCTGTATCAAAGAAGTAGACATGTAATGTTTATATAATTGGGTAGGCAGCACTGCAACTGCCATTGACGTTTCACGAAGACCATAGGGTCTATTTGAAAAGTTGTTCCGAGACCTGACCTAGCTCTGTAGTAAAATATTTCATTGCAACACAGAATGCTTGGATTCGATTCCAGTGGGGACCCTGACATTTATTCTTTGCATTCGCCTGGTTGACGCTACCGCCCCGCCGCGGTGGTCTAGTGGCTAAGGTACTCGGCTGCTGACCCGCAGGTCGCGGGTTCGATTCCCGGCTGTGGCGGCTGCATTTCCGATGGAGGCGGAAATGTTGTAGGCCCGTGTGCTCAGATTTGGGTGCACGTTACAGAACCCCAGGTGGTCGAAATTTCCGGAGCCCTCCACTACGGCGTCTCTCATAATCAAATGGGGGTTTGGGGACGTTAAACCCCACAAATCAATCATGGTCGACGCTACCGATGTAGGCTATCGCTTAACGTTCACACATTAAAGTTTGCCCATGTGTGTTCTCATCGTTCCTGGGTAGATACTAAGTGTCAATCGCCTGGAGCACATACCCACATACCAGTGGCACATGCCCGCTGGTGTGCATGTGCCGCTGTATGGCGGGAAGTGTTTGATGACGTACGCAACGGCACTGTGAGAATATATGTATCTTGACCAGCGTGTCATATTCGTCAAACCGTCTTGCCCTCCAATGCTAATTCTGCTTCACGCCCTGTTGAAGGGGTGACCACAACAGGACTTAAACGTAAGCGGCTAGATAGATAGATAGATAGATAGATAGATAGATAGATAGATAGATAGATAGATAGATAGATAGATAGATAGATAGATAGATAGATAGATAGATAGATAGATAGATAGATAGATAGACAGACAGACAGACAGACAGACAGACAGACAGACAGACAGACAGACGGATGGATGGATGGATAAACGGAGAGATGGGTGGATGGATGGGTGGATGGAGAGATGGATGGTGCTCAAAGTTACCGAAGTTCGCTAGGAAATGTTTCGCATTTAAAATAACACATATATGTACTGTTGTTGCCGAAAATACTTGTTTAGAAATAAAATGATTGCACCTAATGGTAAAGCCAACCTTCAGGAAAGGGAGCAGAATTTGTCAGCTAATCCATTTCCTAGGCAGTGGTCAAGAAACACTGCAGAACAAAAACAGCCGATATGCTGAGGCTATAAAGGCACTAGTTACTTAGTATCCTTTCAGCGCCT